GGGAAAAGATTTTTTGACGTAAAATGTTTCATTTTAGAGTCAGATGAGCAGCAGTTACTTTCCATATTTGAAAGGATCTGTCTATACATTTCCTCTGGATGTTTGGTTATGCCCTCCTTTATTCCTTTGCGAGGATGTGTTCATTTATGGATTTTTGTTTGTCAATTTGTTTTCCTTTCAGTGCTGTCTATTACTGTCTTTTTAACATTTTGAAACAGTTTTGAAATTACAGAATAGTTTTAAGTATAGCATAAATTTTTTCTTTCCTTTTTCTTTCTTTTTAGACTGGGTCCTGCTCTGCTGCCTAGGCTGGAGTGCAGTGGCATAATCATAGCTCACTGCAGCCTGAAACTCTTGGGCTCAAGCGATCCATCCATCTCAGCCTCCTGTATGGCTGGGACTACAGGCACCCACCACTGTGTCCAGCTAAATTTGAACATTTTTTTGTAGAAACAAGGTCTGGCTTTGTTGCCCAAGCTGGTCTTGAACCCCTGGGCTCAAGTGGTCCTCCCACCTCAGCCTTCCTATAAGCTGGGATTACAGGCATGAGTCACAGCATGCAGCTCAATTTTTTTTTTTTAACCATTGGAGAATAAGTTGCCAACATGATGCCACATTACCCTCAAATACTTTAATGTGCATTCTTCAAACAAAGATATTATGCTATGTCGCCATTTTTTTCTATGTTAAAAATTAGTATATTTTAGGCAACAAAAAATTATAAAATCATTTATATAAATATTACATAAAGCAACATAATGAACTCCTATATGACCACCACCCAGCTTAAGAAGTAAAACACTGACAGTACAAATGAAACCACTTACATACCACTCCCATGGCCCCTACTCCACCGTCTTAAATTTGGTGTATGTTATTCATTTCTAAACTGGGATTCTTAAGTTAGTTTCAGGTAGGTCTATGAATACCCTCAAATTATATGTAGAATTTGATGTGTGTATGGACATTTCTATAGAAAAGGTCCATAGCTTCAATGAGATTTACATGGATAAAGGTAAGCTATGCAAAGTACCAGATTTTGTGAAAAAAATGTCTACAGTTAGTGCATATACTTTTCTGCCACTCATTTATTGTTTAGCTTTTTGTATTCTAGCTTTCTCTCTAACCAGTTTATTCAGATTAATTCTTTAAAGTTCGCTTCCTAATCACCAAATCCAATGGCTCATATTCAGTCCTTATCCTCATTCAACTACCTGCGGAATCTTACTCTTGGCTCACTTGCCCTTCCATATTCTTTCCTTTCCCTTAGCTTCTGCACTATCTTGATATCTCCCAGTGTCCTCATTTGGAAAATATAATACTTAACTCACGTGGTTGTGAAAATTAGCTGTAATGTTCCTAAAGCACCTGATTGTTGTATGCACCCAATAAGTTTAGCTATTATTAGCAGTTAATTTTCATACCACTGTGTTGCATCTCATCATCTTCTATCCCTTCTTTTCAAGATGTTGCTAATGGACAGAGATCTTGCCAAAAAGATAGCCAGAAATTACTGCTTCAACATCCTGCAGTGCTGTTCATTAGCCTACTAGCAACCTTATAACTACTAGTAGTTCTGGTTAGACAGTATCAGTAATCTGTAGAGTCTTCGGTAGAAAATCATTTAAGTAAAGACTAGTTAGCATTAAATTATATAGATATATCAATTTAATTCATCCCCTAAAGCTTGTAACACTCCTATCAGCCTGGTCACCTTTAAGAACCTCAGAAAGTAAAAACGTAGTTCTCCACTACTTGTTTATTCAGCTTTTTGTCCATTCTGCTACTAAATAGACTGACAAATGAAAGCATCAACACTATTATGAAGGACACCTGCTTGTTTCAAGCTGGGTTGGGGCCAGTTATTCTGGATGGACCATTGAAAACCCATATTACTTTCAGTCACTGTTTACTTGGAACAGAATGAGAAGAAGGGTTTATACCAGTCCCCTCAGCCTGCCCAGTCCCAAATTGTCCTCTTTATATTTTAATGTCCACTATTGGATGCCAGTAACAGTGACATAGTTTTGTTCATATTCATAATAGAATCCTACAATATTTTAAGCCACAAGCCTCTGTGAAGCACCAAGGACCCTCCTGAGGCTCAACTGCCTGGAGGAAAACAGCCAAGCTATCTTTGCCCTCTGTTGGACACAGTGCTTGACCTCCTTAACTGCCATTCATTTTCTCAGGATAGAGTAGGTTATGCTGTCATAGCAAACAACTCCCCAAATCTCAGTATCTTAGAATAACCTAAGTTTATTCTTATTTATGCTACATGTCTATAATGAGTCACCTGGGGGACATTACAGGGTCTTCATTTTAGGACCTAAATGGACTAGCCACCATCTAGAACACTGCTTATCATGGTAAAAGAAAAGAGAGTTTGGAGGCCTCATACTGCATCACCAATTATATATTATTTCTGGGCAGCATATGGCATTTTTTCTCATATACCATTGGGCAGCTTTAATCAGGGCTAGTTAAGGGACATCAAGTGTAATCCTACCATATGCCCTGAATGTGGAGAGCTGAAGATATTCAGTGAGCAGCCCTAATTACACCATTGCACACTTAATGTGCCCTATAGAAAGACATCTCTTGTGTCTCTAGCCCTGTCGCTTTCCCTAGAACATCTTACTAAGTCACATCCCTTCGGTTTCACTCATTCCTGTTCCCTTGCTCCTGCAAAAACTGAGGAACTTGTCAATTATGGCAATTTTTGTACATACTGCATTCTATATTGTTTAATGCAAGATTGTGGTCTTTTTTGCTCAGTTTGAATTCTTTCTACCCCTTTGGTGTTCTTGCAGTTGTATGCTGTAGTGATGGACAAAGATACTAACTTAGAATAATTTTGTTTCAATAAAATTCTCTCTTTTTTTTACTTTTCCTACCCTACTGTGCTGTTTACTGTTATGGTAATAGAATGGCTATAATTCTGTGACCCTTTGACCATAACAAGGAGATTAAATGATTCGCTTAAGGGTCTGTAACTAGGTAGTATTAAAGGAGCCTGAAGTAGAATTCATGTTTTCTGACTCATAGTCTGTTTCATATTTATTATGCCATTTCCTATTATTTAAAAATTTGTATAACTGACAGCAGTGTAATTTACTCTCAGAGACAATTGGTAACAACAGAATCTGGTCTTTAATCTTGAATAGAAGGAATTTTCCATTTAAATACCTCCTTTTGAATGATGAATTGCATGTAATAAAATCAGATTCTTGGGATTCCTATGCCAACAAGTGTCTATTCTTGCTTAAAGCAAACAAATACCTGGCCCTGAATGAATCAATAACATAATCCTATCTATAAGACTCAAATAAATAAGAACTTTCACCACCCCTGCTGCAGCTCAATCTAAAATAAGGCATTGTATATATTGTATTATTGTAGGTTTGTTTCTTACTAGTATTTAGAATGTTAGGCAATGTTCCAGGAATAAAATTAAACATGAAATCAATACCTTGTGACAGCATAGTGACAGTATTATGCTTACACTATGTCAACCTGCCTCAGTTTGGAGTTATATTTTATATGACATGCTGTGAGTTCTTCTCATATATAGTTTACTGTAAAGATCTACAATAATTGTTCCTGTCTTAAGCAAATTTTCTGTTAGTAAAGGCTTAAGAGAAGGTCCTAGCCAATGAGATTATCACTAAAGATCAGAAATGACAAGGGCAACATCTTGTATAAAAACAAAATCTTAATATATAGACACAGAGTTATTGTCAACATATCAACCAAATGTAACACGGGTGGTCCAGAATATCTGCAGGTGCCACAAATCTTTGCCAAGATCCATTGGACGTGTACATCATCAGGTTTCTTTATGGATTCAATAATATAAATTATAGATTAAGGAAAAGGAGACTTGTCAAAGAATGCCACACAGAAACTATTAGAATGATGCTCTGAATTGTGTCAATAGTTTGTTCTGTGTCATCAGGTGGTTTTCACTACTCTTCTGACACTCAAATCTAGAATCATTATTGTATGTAGAAGCACAAAGCTACATATCTGAGGACACTGGCCATTAGTGCAAAGTCAAAGCCAGTTTTACTTATGGCATATCTGTGATGATGGAGTCATTTTCCATAATATTTTCTTGCAGAGTTCTTTCTTGCAGTTATTTTACTATCAGACTGAGTTTTTTCTCATGGAAAATTCTGTACAAAACGAAGCAGAGTAAACAGTGTTCCTATCACTGAGCTTTGACCGTTATCAACTTGTGGCCGATCTGCTATGAGACCTTTATGAAGATTATCATCATTTGCATTTCATGTCTGTGAACTGTTTTTTAATGATTTTTCACTTTCTAGGGCAACCACAGGTATAAATGTTAAGATTTTACACAAGGAAAGGGAATTTATTTAAACCACTTGAAAATCATATCCAAAATATTCACACTATTAGCATAGCTCAACCACAGATAGCAACCAATTTCATAATATATTCTTAGAGGGAGTCAGCCAACAACTGTCTATTAACATCTATTTGTTAGATCAAATCACTTAGAAGCTAGAAAAACACCATTGCTTCTTATACTATTGTCTATAACATTTGAATGTCTGCAAATGTGTTCTTGGGGATCTAACACTTCTTAGATTTAAGAAACATTATTTTAATATCAACCTGGTAATACTCTTTTTGAGTGTTCACTCTTATACTCAGGTTGAATTCTTTTACCAGTACTTGTTTTTTAAAATGTCAATGCATCATCAAAACATTTCCATAATATGATTTAACTTTCTTGTGTCAGTGTTTCTTAAATAGGTTAATGAATCTATTCTAGAGTTCCTCAGAGTTCTCTGTATGATGAGAAATACCACTCTAAGGGATGAATGTAGACTATTTGATAATTTTGTGAAACAAAATACCCGTATTGTGTAGAAACCTGTTTCCAAATCTAGGTAGAATGCTGTACCGGGTTTTCATACTACGTAAGTAAAACAATATTCTCTATATATATTTGTCTTAATTAATAAGCATTGAAATTTACAACAATTTATTTTTCTCATGCAGAGCTGAACATTAAAAATTACATTACACAGAACAATAATTTGGTAGAAAGAAGGCTCCAGTCTACTGATACACAGGTTATTCAGTGGCAGTCAGAGGCTTCTAAACTGGCTTCAGAATAGAAATTTACTAATGCTTTCAGTTCTTTCTCCAGAACTGTGAAAGAACAAGATCATAGTTCAAACCATTCTATGCATATTGATTACTATTACTATTAATATGATAACAGTGGCAAAAGGATGATGATAATACTATATGCCAGTCACTGTACTAAGAACCTTATTTACATTTTTTATTTCATCCTCACAACAACCCAAAGGCAGTATGGTGGTAGGTTTCCCCTTCATGTGTGCTTGTAGTGCTGCTGATATCAGGCAATGTGCTTTGGTGGAAGTTCCTGGAGTTTATCTGCTTGCAGTTCATATGGGCAGTTTCCCATCTTGCAGTGGGTTGCTACTGCTATAACATTCATTCCCATTTTGCAGTATGAATACTTCATCAGTACCTAATATTTGTACACAGTTAACACAGTCTCTTTTACACATGTGATCTCATTTGATCCTGCCAGGAACACAATGAAGTAAGAAAGGAAAATACAGTATTAAGCAAATTTTAGATGAGAGAATAGAGGCTCAAATGTTTCTTAATTGATCATGGTTTAAATCTTCTTCACATCACCTTCTATACTGTTATATTGAATCTTGACTCCTCTTTAAGTGTGAAAAGTACAGTCATCTTTGTTTATCAATTAATAGGGAGACAGATCCTAATCCTCATTGATTGTGCCCTTCTACACCCAACATATCAGGCGCACCATAGGCACTTAATAACTACAGTGACTTGGCTTGTTAGATTTTATACTTAAATGGATAAAGAGCTAAAAGAATATAATAAATTTCATGTAAGTCTTGCAGTAGGTTACTATGTAACTATTCGTTAAGCTGTGTAATTTCTAAATCTTCTTAGGAACTCCTAATACAGAAGGGCTCCAATATTTTCCTACCAATGATCACACACTGTCTAAAAGTAAACTATTGTAGATACATCCCTTTGGCCACTGATACTCCTAGACATGATCCTAAATTCCATTTTTGTTTAGGAAATATAAGTAATTTCCACATTAGTGGGAAATATATTTTTTAAAAAGATTTTTGCTGAGGATTTTACTCAGGTCGTTTTTAAAAATATAAAAGATAGTTTTGGAGCAGGGAATACTACTGGAGTGAGTTTTGAAGGAGTGCTTTAACAAACTGTGTATTTTCTACTCTAACAATTATAACTGGTCCTTTTTCAGCATACACTGTGTGTCAGACTCTATGCTATAAATACTATTATTATTCCATTTTGCAAATGAGAATCCTGAGACTCAAAAATTAAATAATTTGCAGAGGGTCAAAGGCTAGCAAGTGGCAGAACTGAGATTTAAACCAATATCTGACTAAGCCCGAATCTCCTGGTTTTAACAATAAACCTTCACTGCTTTGTCAGTGGGAGTAAGGAGAAGCAGCGAAGAAGAATGGGAAGGAATACACAAATGGTTGCTAGGAAAATACCCATGCCAAACATTTACTTAAGTCACAATGGAGACTACAAATCTGTGGACTCAAGTTCTATAGCAGGTATTTTGGCCTAAATTCTCCTGGAGGTAACCACTTCACTTTCATTCAGCGTTACTAGCTACTTTATTTTTCCTGTACTTACTTGGTTACCCTCTTTGGTCTTCAATGTTGTTGTTTGCCAGGTGAAGCCTGAACAATATATTCAGAGCTCCTTTGTATAAACCTTATCTTCAGTATGCAGCTCAAAAATGTGTTATTTATAAATTCTCATCATTTAAGGCTATTAGCAGCAGTGAATAATACATAGTAAGAGTTGCTTTTTGTAACTAGTAAATTGAAAGGTTGATCATTTTTCCAGAGCGAACTTTAAAAAACCCATTCTCACAGGTTGGAATGATGAATGATAAGGGTATTTCCTTTAAACTTGTGTTTAGAGTATTTATATATATATTATCTGAATTGAACTACTTACCAGTTATATCAGATATGTAGACATTATTATACCCATTTTGTAGATGAAAGGGACTGAGGTTTAATGATATTAAGTTATTAACTGGCTAACAGATAGAATAACCATTTACAAAGTCACACGTTGAATCAGTTGCTCTTCCCATAATCCTTCATTGCCTGTTCTTCTTGCCCATTCTGTGACCTAGTACATTCCTCTTCCTCTAATACAAGCCTCCTCTGTGAACCAAATAAATAATACAGGCATTAAGTTTTAAAGTAGCCAGTTGGGGTGATTGAAGGAAGTCATTTGGGACTAGGGTAAACAGGAAAGTTTTTTTGGAGGAAGTGAAATTTGATTTGTCACATGAAAGAATGGCTTATCAGCCTCCTTTATTCTTCTATAAATAGGTAGGAAAGAGATATGCTTTCCTGATTCCAAATTGATTTAGCTATGTATAGATATTTGCTAATAGAGAATGGTGGGTATGTAGAGGATGATATTTATAGAACTTTTAAAAGTATGTTTACATTAAAGGAATTAGTTGAAGAGAAGGGAAAAGTATCTGCCAAGATACTTTCAAATTGCACTACCTCCACAAATTGTACTATGACTGCTCTGTCCTCCATTAATCTTACTTTTCTCTGAAATCCTCTAATAACTATAGTGTAGACTAGCTGTTACGAGCTGGTAATCCATGGTCCTAATATGGTTCAAAGACATGTTTTGTTTTTACCAGTGAAACATGGTGAATGCTAGGAGTTGGATTTTTCTTTCTTTTTTTCTTTTTGTTTTTGAGACAGGATCTTACTCCGTTGCCAAGGCTGGCATGTAGTGATACAACCACGGTTCGCTGCAGCCTCGACTTTCCAGGCTCAAGTGATCCTCCCACCTCAGCCTCCTGAGTGGCTAGGTCTACAGGTGTGTACTACCATGCTCAGCATTTTTTTTATAGAGAGATAAGGTCTTGCTCTGCTGCCAGGGCTGGTCTCAAACTCCTGGACTCAAGTGATCCTTCCACCTCAACCTCTCAAACTGCTGGGATTACAGGCATGAGCCACCACACCCAGCCAGGGATAGGACTTCATTGTTTTTTTTTTAGAGAGAGGAACAAGATTCTGAACCCACAGACTTGCCATAACCCCTCAACAAGGCTCTCTAGATGTTTTGGTATGGTGAAATATGACCATATTAGGAGATTTCGGTTTCAATACTTCATAGCCAAGGACATGTGGGGTCCACTGAGCAAAATGACTCTCTTCTTCCTCAACACTTATGTAGATTATACTTAGGAATGGTCTCAGCATTCACATCTTCCCAATTGTGTGTACCAAGACAGAAAGTACAAAATGGTATCAAGCTTTCTGAGAGTTTAGATTACTGCCCTATTATATTTATTTCTGCCTCAGAGCATTTTCCTATGAAATTGATTAAAGTCTTTTAGTTAACAGGCAGATTGAATATAATCTTTTCCTCCTCAACCTATTAGTCACTGACTACTGAGCACAACTCAGAGGTTTGATTAGAGAGTTCCATTAAAAACCATCATACACTGCACTTGCCATGTCTCTATGAATTTCGCTAACCCTCAACCCATGCATTTTGTAACAAATGACAGGAGGAGAGAATAAAACCTTTAATTAGTGTCTCTTGAGGATGTCATGGTTCTGAAAAGCTCTGCACAGTTGAGAACCACCAGATATTATCTACACTGTGTCTGAAAACCAATAGTAATAGATGTTTAACTCCTACATTGCCTTCAGTCTTTGTGACCCTTCAGAGTGCCATTGACCAAGGCTGGGAAACCAATTCTGATTAGACTGTCTAAAAGCTAGGCAAGCCCAGCACATCCTATTTCCAGAAAAACAGTGGAAATGGACTGAATACTGCTAGAAGCATAGAAATGCTTCTGATGACCTGTCAGATTTTCTTTTCCTTTGGGGGTCCTAAAGAACATGCTGAATCACTCAGATGGTCTGGAATGACACTAGCGACAAGTGTTATGATTAACTCTGTAAGCCAGACAACTATTGGCTCAATTCTATCCAACAGATTCTTTTCGTTCTTTTAAAATATGTTACGATTAAATCTATCATCTTATACCTGAATTGTAGCATCAGTACTCTCATTTGGAGATTCACACTTTTGTAGCTTAATTTTTTGTGAGACTGTGATGCTAACTCTCTAGCACCACATAAAGCCTTTTTACTTTATATTACTCTAACTAGTGTAGCAATCCTGCCGTGTGCCTTTAAGAATACTAAACATTAAGGGTCCATAACCTACTCTTCCAAATTCCACAGTAAGGTATTACCAACCTTCAGCTTTCTTCAAACAAGAACAAATGATATAGACTGTAGAGCAATGACTAACAAGACCTTTTGAAAGAAATTCACTTCCTTACCTTTGATTGTTTGGCATGCATATCCCAAATCAATTACACGGGCCTCCAGGCTGTGTTATTTTTTGTGTGTGTTTTCCAATATTTTGTTGAATTAGCTGGAATTTGAAATTAAATTTGTTTTCACCTGGGTCAGGGAAATGCCTTTGTTATGCAGTGATTGTTCAGCTGGCAGCTGTGTACCTACTTGGTTCATTATACAATGGCTGTCAGAATCCTACCTTTCCCGTGTTAACTAGGCTCCCTCTTCATTCAGTGAAGTTGGTGCCTGAGGTGGTTGGGTACTGGAAGGCAACAGGAGAGACAAAGACATTCAGTGATTTTTGTCAACTTAGTGAGGGCATCAGTAGAGTGGAGTGATAGCTTTACAGATCTCCTACAAACAGAGAATGCCCCCTGAAATGACATATGATGACAATGATGCACCCTTACCTCTCACCTACATGCCTTCATTCTTTATGAACTTATGGCAGTCTTAGATTTAGTAGAGCGCTTCTTTGCACAATACATTTAGACATGTTAAGTGTGAGAGACTATCTGTTCAAATTTCCAGTGAGAGGGATATAGGAACTCAAGCCAGTGAACTATACTGATATATCAAATATTTCTGAGAGAATATAAATTTTAGTTTGTCCTTTGTTGTGCCATATCCTCCAACTAATATAATTATAGAGAGTAGTAATAAACCAGTATTTACATATAATACTTGTTTTTGGAAAGCTGGATAAGCCTACAAATCTTATGGCACTATCTTTCACTCCTTTTACTGAGCACGCGTTTTGGATGCAACCCAAAACATATTTCATGCTTTTCTATTAAAACAAACACAGTGTTACTCCTGTGTGTCTTTTCTTTTTCTCTGATAAGGTTTATCTCTTGCTTCTCTTCGGTAAGATCTAGGTTTGCTTTTGTGAAAATGTGTATTTTAGCCTGTGAAATGCAGCCTCCCACACAACAGACACTCCATGACCTCCCTTGCATAGTCTCCATAAATCTTTTTCTTCCCTCTGATCCCACCCCTATCCTCAACAATGAGCAACCCCTCCTTTCAAATAGCACAAGAGGGAAAAAATATGAAACTAAAGAGATGCACTTGAAATGCCTCCAGGTTTTCTAATAACGGTTAACATTCTAAGCATCAACTTTGGCATGCACAAGCACCCTGGATTTACGAGTCTAAGATAATTACAGTTCTAAGCACTTGAAGTATATCTCACTCTCCATTTTTCCTGCTGTACATTATAATATCCTCAATACATTAAATTAATAGATGACCTGGTACCCTTATCTAACCCTCAGTTTTAAGGGGACAGGAATAATAAAAACTCACTGGGTACCAACTAGAGGGACTTCTGGCCCTGCCACTGCTTCAACTTTTCTTGAGTTGCTTCATTTATAAAGTGGAGATAACAGTATCTGTCCTGTTCATCTCACAGAGTTGTAGCCACATTCCCACATGCTAGTGTATATGTACACAGGCCCACACAACTTGAAAGTCATTTTATTTCAGACTCCCTCTTTCCCTATCAGAGACAAGACAAAATCGCTTACCTCTTCCTATAAACTGGCATCTAGAAGAAATTAAAGGGTAAACTTATTATCATAATCATCAGTCTTTCCTGTTGTTTCCTTATATTTTTAAGGCATTGTCCACTTGCTAAGTGAAAAGTAGCTCTTACAAAAGACATTATGATTTCTGTATGTAATTATGATTTACTGGCAAGATTTTTAAAAGAAGACATTAACTACTGCCTGCCTTGGCCTACCTCTGATCTTGTCATTCTGTGCATTAATCACCATATTGAAATGCAGTTTATTCATTTTTCATTTACCTTTGCTGTGCCCAAATTCTTCATCTTTGAGATGTTGATTGTTTTACCCTTTGACAGCCATTTCTGCCTTCTTCCTATGAGTTGATGTCTAGACAGATAACAGTTATTAAAAGTTTTGGAAATGATTGTTATCCTAGAGTAGGCTGGTGCAGGGTTTGTTAAGGAGTAAATATTCTCTGTTTAAGCTTGCTTTTAAAAATAATACTCATTTGCCACTCATTTAAGATGGAAATTGAGTTCTTGGTGAAAATATCACTTGAGAAAAATGGAAATATTGGGTACCTAAGTGTCATGAATGGCTGGAGTCTTGCTGAGGAAGGGGCAAAGTAAGCTTTTGTGTACTCTAAAATGGTGATAATCAGTTGTCAATGAAACGTTTATTAATTGATGATATTAATGATGTACTTATGGCCAAAACATTGGTGGGAAAGGGGATAAATCATTTTTAAATTGATATGCCCAATCCCTCTTCCAAAGAAATTGACTAGAGATAGCCTTAAAGTTATCTCCCGACTTTGAAATTTTTCAATTATGTCACGTTTTATCCATAAACTACTATTACCTAACAGCAAATGTTATTAATATGTGCTTATTTAATTTAGAAAAGTGTACATCAGTCTAACTTGGAAAACATGGTAAAGGCCAACCATCCAGCAATCTAGGATATTATTTATCTGCTTTATATGTCTGCCTTCTTATCTGTATGAAAAAACTCTTTGAGTGCCTGAACTATTTTAACATGTCCTTTCCTGTGCACCCACTAAAGTACTTCTACTCAGAGTAGGTGTTCAATAAATGTGTAAGTGATTAATCAGGAAATTGAAGACAACAGAGTATTGTAAATCATGAAGGCTAAGGAGTGATAAAAGAGTCATTGACTTAGTGGCAATATAATCATGTTTTCCTCTGGCTTCTTCATTGTTAGGCTTGCTAGACCGAGTTTGGAGAGAATTTCACTGGCTCCAGGACTTTTGGCACTACTCTGGAGATAAGAACATTCAGGAAATATACTGATCACTTCCCAAACATCCTCAGACCTACTGCTTAATAGTCCCCTGAGAAATTCTTTAGTTTTAATTTCTCACCTTCCCCAGGGATCCTTTCCTGGATGATGGGAGGAGGATTCTGGGGAAGACTTCAAGAGAAAGCCTGGAATGAGCTGCTTGAGAGAAACAGAAGAGCTGATCATGCCCAGCTTAGGGAAGACATTGTTGGAAAAGATTTCATTAGTCATTCAATGAAAAAATGAAGACCATGCTCCACCCTTGGTCATATAGTGCCACTGTTATCCTAGAGAGGGGCATAGCTTTCAGCAAGACATTCATCATCCAACCCATTCTCTGCCTGATGCCTTCCCATTTTTTCTTACTACTTTTGAAGGTCTTACATTTAAAAGGACAGCATATTGGAGCTTTTACATAGCTGATTTCTATGGTGCTGCTCTTTGCCATAGTTGTTAGGAGCACAAGAGGTAATGTTAGACACACCTGGGTTCTGTTCCAGCTCTTCCACTTCCTAGCAGTGAGACATTGCACAAGTGACTTTACCTGTTCAAACTTATCCAAGCCTGAATTTTTGTATTGGTAAAGTAATAGTACTCATCTCTCAGGATTGTTTAGAGGAAAAAGTGAGATAACAGCTTTAAATCACTTAGCATAGTAGTCACTTGATTGTTGCTGCTAGTTGTTCTCAACACCACAGTTTCATTATTATAATTATTATTATAAATAATAACCTTCTATCTTCCTGGCCATTATGAAAGGTTTCTGGGAACCTCTGTTGGCTATAGCTTAGGGTGAGCAGTTTACTAGATTCATCTCCTCATGTACTCAGGCTAAGTAGCTTCTATCCAAGGTAACTGTCTTATACAAGAACAACCTGTTTAAAAGTTAAGCATTACAACCGCAAAGTTATCAGGTATGGAGGTCAAAAATCTTGAATATTTCATTTAGGCTGCATCTCTTTTCACTTCTGAGTCTACTCCTTCAATTATTTAGACCAGTGTTTTTTAAAAGTTTTGAACAGCAACATACCCTTTTGTATCCAAGTGAAGTCATATACAGAATCACAATACATAAAGTATATGAAAGTAATATTTTACTATTTTATTTTATTTTTGAGACAGAGTTTCACTCTTGTTGCCCAGGCTGGAGTGCAATGGCACAATCTGCAACCTCCACCTCCTGAGTTCAAGCCATTCTCCTATCTTAGACTCCTGAGTAACTGGGATTACAGGCATGCACCACCACACCTGGCTAATTTTGTAATTTTAGTGGTAGAGACAGGGTTTCTCCATGTTGGTCAGGCTGGTCTCAAACTCCCGAGACCAGGTGATTCGCCTGCCTCGGCCTCCCAAAATGCTGGGATTACAGGCGTGAGCCACCAAACACAGCCATATTTTATTACTATGAAATTTTTCATAGGTTCATATGCATGGTATTTATATATTATTTTTAGTACAAAAGAATGAAACTAGGTACTAAGAATGAGAGTTGTAATCTTATATTGGTGTATAGTTCAATTCTGAATTTTTTTTCTACACAGTGTTGAAAAATTCACATAGATGTAGTAGGTGCAAATGGCTACAGATTTTTCGTTGTTTTAATAAGTGATCCGTAGTTTTAAAGAATAATAACAGAAAAAAATTGTGTAGACTTGTAAAAGCTACTTAGCTTCTTTCTTTCTTCTTTTTTTTTTTTTTTTTTGAAACAGGGTCTTGTTTTATCACCCATGCTGAAATGCAGTGGCCTGATGTCTGCTTGTTGCAAACTGCAACCTCTGCTGCCCAGGCCCAAGCAATCCTCCCACCTCAACTTCCCTCCCAAGTAGCCGAGACTATAGGCATGTGCTACCATACTTGGCTAAGTTTTTAATTTTTTACAGAGATGAAGTCTCACTATATTGCCAAGGCTGGTCTTGAACTCCTGAAATCAAGCAATCCTCCCACTTCAGCCTCCCGAAGTGCCATGATTACAGGCACGAGCCACTCCACCTGGCCTACTTAGCTTCTTTAAGCCTTGGTTTTCCTGTTTGTAAAATAGAAATCATAATAGTACCGATCTCAGAGGGTTTTGAGGGTTAAATAAGACATTGTATGTAAAGTCTCTGAGGAATTTGGCAGACTTTTCAGAATGCTTGACAAATAAGCAATCAGTAAATACTAATTGGTACTATCGTGATCACCTCCACCATCAGCAACAATGTCCATTTGAATTCCGTAAGTCTTACAGAAGAAAAATTGGTAAGTAGATTCCTTAGCTCATTGCATCTTCGTTGTTTGGTGGGAAACACTTTTTCCAATCTATCTAACAATATTGTAAAATGCTTAATCTTAAATGCCCATCTCTATCAGATACTAACTCTAGCTCCTGTAGTACACAATTTAGAAACCACTGGTGTAGAAGTCTGACCAAGTTTCTGCAAAGATTGCCTGGTAGGTTATGAGCTCTTTCAGAGCAGTGGCTATTTTATT